AAATGTACCCGGCCGGCCAAAATATTATGTAGGTAGGTAGGTGGGTAGGTGAACACGTGAAAACTCTTGAGGTCGCGCACTTTGCGCTATCGTTTATTCGCCGACGAGAAAATTCAACACGTTCACATTTATATAAATGATTATGGCGTAGGTACGATTTCGAAACGCTCGGGTCTACGCGCATTGTAATGCACAAACCGAATACCAGATATTTTCTCAAGAGCTCGTGTCTTTATCGTATACCCGGGTATCGCGGGCTCGCGGCGACACATAATCATAATATAATATTACATAACGCGTTTGCCACTCGAAAACACATTTTCGTTACCGCGCCCGAAAACTGCTACCCGTGTACATGCATGTTGCTAGCGAACGTTTTCGGGGAACCGCTAAACGAACGTTTTGTACAAAAAGTCAACAAATATTCGCGTATTCATTATGCCCGTTGCGTATAACACGTGTAGGCATTATAATATATTATTCGTATTTTTTAGTCAGAGTCGCAAATTTCGTCCGGCGCGTATATAAATGCTCGAAAATATTGGTATAGTAGTAATAATATTCTTGATTATCAATAATATTGTTATCGCACTGTTTGCTATAACAATTACATCAGTAAACCTATATCAGCTGTAGGCTTACTTGAATGCGTACTTGATGCGTGTAGCGAGTTGTTTAATTTGTAGCCGTACGCGACGATAAATAACTGCTGACGAAGTACGTTTCTGAACGAAGTCCGGTTAAACGAGTTTCGAAATGCCGTAATTTTTAAGATCTTTGTCAAACATTATTGAACTGGACTTTTTTCACCATTAAATACAACTTTTAATGAATCTCGCATTCGATTTCCGAGCATTTCCATTTGGCCGAACAATTGTATCGACGTAAAAACAAATAAATACTAAAAAAACTCAAAAATATGACCACATCTAAAAGAAGCTAACATAAATTATCGGTGAAAAATTCAGGTCTCTACGAATAATTTTAATTGAATTACAACCAAAAAAAAAAAAATCGAAAATAACAGCTCTAAACCGCTATTGCGTAAATATTTTCCGTTTTTCCGTTTGTTTTCCACTTAGTATAGGAAAACTTCAAAGAAAATCATACACAATTACATCCTCAATGTACGAATTGGACAAAATTTGCTACCAGGAACCATCTCAAAAGTTGATAATCGAATCAAGATTTCTGTTGAATAAGTTATTCACAAACAGAAAACATGAAAAAACATTAAAAGGCACACGCGCTAGGCGTAACAGGTCTCTGAACTAGGGGGGAGGCTAAAGCCCCAGTTGTTTTTTCTTTCATAAGATTTTCGATCAAATCTCCCCCACCTCTCCATAAGCAAGGATGCACAAAAAACAAGCAATTTTTTTTTGTTGCAAGGATTATAAATCCTTAGATTAATAATAACAATTATTTCATTAATAAATTATTTTTATAAGAGTATAGGCATAATAAAAATTTGAAAACTATTGAACTAGTAATGTCTCTATACATGATTGTCAGCATCCAATTCTTCTTGTAAGACTACTACAGTTGACTCAAAATTGTAAATTGTTGTTGGGGCTATTGCCTTACAATTTTTAAACGACACACCCATCTAGTACCGTTGAATACAGTGAGAGTAATATTTGTCATTAATAATTTTTCTTGGGCCTTCTTCAATTTTGAATTATTTGTAGGTTGTGGAAAACGTATGTACAACGATTCTAGGGCATTGAATACAGTTTTAGATTTCTATGTAAAAACTAAAATTAATAATAAAATATTTCATAGTTTTAAAAATACATTCAATTAAACCTCAACAAATATCTGAATAAGTTAACCATTACGAGCTTAAGCACACATGTCTATAACTAAGTTTAATTGATGTGGCATGCAAAGTATATACATTGCATAAGGGTGATGATCTTTTAATTTACGTTGTATACCACCATTGCCTCCTGACATCATACTTACTCCATCATAACTTATGATTAAGTATTTAAATTTAATTTTTTTTTTTTTTTATTGTAACAATTGCTGTCAGAAAAGATTTTGCATTTTGGCTCGATGAAATATCAACAAACCCTAAAAAACGCTCTGCAATTTTGTGACTTTTTACATACCGTATACAAATTGACATAGAATTTTGTTTATGAGACCTTAATAGGGATAAACACGCATAAGGCTTGGATCTTATCCTAAAGATACCTAAAGTTATTACTAATTAAAATAAATATCTGGCTCCAACACCTGAACTGTTTTTCTTTCTAAGAGGCGAGTTGGATTATTCAGTCGCAAAATCCAAAATCACTCACCCGCGCCACTATAACCGCCGAACGCATCCCCGACTGTTATTCTGGCCATACACACCGCGTACTTATTCAATATTCCAGTAATCTTCGTTCTTATAGCTCTCTGCAATGGCTTGAGCCCCGGAAATCAAAAAACTGCCCTCGCTACCCCTACCGTTGAATTGTCTAGAGCTATTTTTTTAAATTCATAAATCGTCACAAGTTATTATCATTTCGGTACCTGCGGCTTTTATAATCTTCGAATCGTATAGCTATCGCGTGTGCGCCGCTGTCTCAACCGCTGTTAATTAGATTTCGCAACGATTTCGTTACGCGACGATGGAAACAAATAAACGTGTACAGTATATTATATCGTCGGGTCGTTGCGGTACATTATTATTTATATTACGTTAGGTATATCCGTACGGACAATTATTTTTCAAACACCGTACGCGGGAAAAAAAAAAAAAACATCTAATTAAACGGTGTTTTATACGGCCGTGTACTGAGAGTTGATTGACCGACAATGTTAAAACGGACTCGTCGTTTCCTCTAACGGCCAAGTGCATCTGTAATAGTAATAGAATATGATGGGTACTCGAAATATTATGTATTATGTGACTTGCAGATACTAATAACAATATACACGAAGTATAAACGGCGTTTTCGGAATGAATACGGTTTCTTTCGCAGTTATACCGAAGTATTTTTCTTTTAGATTCCGAGCGTGGCGAGGGAGCTCTATTGGTTTTACAATACTGTTTATTTTTACTTCTTTTTTTTTTTTTTTAGTTTATATCGCCGAACATAACGGGTCTACACTACGGTGGTTTCGGCGGCCGACGCCGGATCGCGGGAGACGATAAACCTCCAAAACTCAGTCTCTCTCTCTCACACACACACAAACACACACACGCGCGCACACACACACACACACACACACACACACACACACACACACACAATATGTATTAGGCGAAAATCCAGATTGAGTGCCCATTAGCCGTTAGATTTCCGCGTACAATCGTGTTCGTGCCAGTACATACTATTATACCTATCGTTTCGAAGGAAAAATCGACGCGAGACGGCCGAACAAAATATATAGGCGAGTTGTCTCTGTCTCTGGCCGACCACGTATCTCGTGCCGTATATAATATAAAGGCGAACTAGGATAAGAAGCTTTTAAAGTAGCAAAGAGTCGATAATCCGTACGACGGGGCCGGGGCGATCCGCGCCACGTCTTCGCGTGTACACGGCCAGCCGTCGTGCCCCGTAGACTCGGGGAAACGGAACATCCATCGTGTCACACAATCGGGCGCGGGTGACGATAATAATATTGTCTATTATTATTATTATTATTTTAATTACGTGTATATTGTGGGCAGTGCGCAAAGACGCGCGAGGGAAGTGACCCCCGACGAGACTGCCCGAGAACGATTTGAATTAATTATGATTCGCGCGGTCGAGGAAAAAAAAAAAAAAACAGTACGAAAAACAAAAATTATGCCCGTCTCGTTATTAATAATACAATATAATTAATTTTAAGAAAGTCACGGTATTGTTTTTGGTTTTTTTTTTTCTGCATTATTTTTCTTTCGTTTTTTCGCTGTATACGGTCGAGTTAGTAATATTGTAGCGCCGCGGCCGCCCGTCCTGTTTTTGCACGGCTTTCGCTCCCGGTCCGCGTATATACGCCTACGCACGCCACGCCGCGGCGATAAGTAAACGTTTTTAATATTTTATAAATCGGTCGATCCGCCGCGCCGCCGTCGCAGGCAGACACGGTATACATCCGGACGCGTTTTTTTACGGTTTTTTTTTTTTTTTTCCTTTTAATAAACAGTATTCGTATACCGGCGGCGGAATTAATTTTTTATTACGCGCATATATACTACGCGCATATATTATATTATAATATGCGTTGTTATAAATAACGAAAAATTACAATTGCATAATATTACGCGAAAACAATAGTAAGGCCGAGTAATTATATTCCGAACGCGTCCCGGTGACCGTTTTCCGAAATTCCCGAATGCACCGCCGGCGCGCAGTTTCCAGCGCGGCGTGCCGCGGTATACGCGCGCGTTCCGTCTCGTACCGACACCCACCCGTCTAATAATATTATTTATGTTAACGATGATACGACGGTGCAACATTGCCGTTATTAAAACAATATTCCGTTTTGGCGTGTCGCACGTTATCGCGCACGCGGGTCCGTTCCAATGTAGCACCGTGTAAACGCTACAACAACGTCGAAAACCGTTGACCCCGCGCACAACGTAATCGCAAATAAAATATTTACCGCCGACCATAACGCGACGCGTACGTACGCAGGCAGGTAGGCAGGTACCTATAATACGGCAAGCTATACCCGTATTCAATAGTTACGGGCCTCTACGGGCGTAAATTCGGACCGTAGGTCACGGGATCGAGGAGGGAGGGAGGGGGGGGACGAAAAACGTTCGAAAATTGCATAGCGGGCGGGTGTGAGAAAAAATAAATCAATACCGTCTTACATTTAAGCAATAGTGGATAATGGATGTGGATAAAGAACATCCGATAGGTGTTGATCACGAACGAATTATATACGGTTTATGATCAGCGGCACGTTTAAGGAGAGGGGAGAGGCGGAGACGAAGAGAGCGAATGTTGGCGAAAAAATCTGCTCGATTTTGTTTACTGCGCGACTGTTTGATAACTGAATGCACTTTTCAACAGCCGGGTTACCGGAATCGGCCAAGTCACTGTCTTCTGCACGATCCCATACTATCCCAGCATTACAGGTTATTTGCACTTCGTTCCCTCCCCGACTGTTCGGGGAGTATAACAAAAATGGTATCTTACGTAAGAAATATCACAATCATAACGTAGCGCACTGATTCTGTGACTGTGTTATCACAAATTCACAAGACATATCCCCTTAGGATGCCATTTTTTTTTTTTACACATATCATCACATCGAATGCAATAACCCGTAGTATTTCAACCACGGTCTTTGGTTACCGGTTATCCATTGGTAAAAATACTATTCCTACACCGAACAAAACGGTTTGGCAATATTGTAACCAAGTATCAAACTGTTTACCGAAAACTGCATCGACAAAACTCGCCTATGTATGACGAACCGATAAGAATTCGGAAAACGGATTTTAATTCAGCGTGATAATACTATGAAGTATCGATTATGTAACGTTTTATCACGATTTTTTTTTATTTCTAAATGTATTACTCATGGTATTTTCTCTTGTATAAAAAAAAAAACCAATTCGAATAAAACGTTATACGGCTATAGAATTAAGTGTCAGTCGTGGAAACGTAGCCAAAAATTACCCGTATATATTATTATCATCGATCGAGAAATATTCATGAATTAGAAAGTCCAAACTAGTTTTTTAATACTTTAAGTCGACGACGTTTATTTTTGTTTTCGTTAAATTGACTAGTTACCGAACGATAAGTCGGTAAAGAGAACAAAAAAAAAAAAAAAGATTCAACAATTTCCAATTTTATACGTATAATAATTCCGCTTTAAAAAGCGATGGGTTTCTGCGTCCGGTCGATAAGCGCGAAGGGGACCTGCCCGAACTATCCGGAGTCCGACAATCGACTTTCGAGCGGTCTCGTATATTATACCATACGCAGTTAGCGTAGGTTTTTATTTCCGTAATGAAGTATTCATTCGGTTTGGCAACCAAACTTTGGCCCCAAATGAAGCCAAACCAAGTAATAGGCATGAGACTAAAGTTAGGCCTTACGCCTTAATTTGAAAATACTTAACATAGGATTCGGCGCCACTGACTATACACATGTACACAAACGAACCGAACCGTACCGTACGAAACGCGTTCGGGTAATAATAACCGCGGTCTTTCCTAATGGGTATAAACAATGGCATAGCTATCATAGGGCAAAGTGGGGCGGTGCCCCGGGGACTCAGAGCTCGGGAGGCCTCGGACAATTCTAAAATTACTTCCTTAAAATAATTGCAAATTTTGATTTATTTAACAATGAATGTTTTAAATCTTACGTGGTAATTCCAGTCACAATCAATATTTAAATAGAATAATAATACACACAATAATGCTAATTATTTTCATTTGAGATTCCATAGTAAGTATTCACACTTTAAAAAAACAATGTTACGCGTAAGTTTATTTCGAATTTTCATAGTCTGTATTAGTATATAGAGGGCCTAGTGATTTAATTGCCCCAGGGCCCTTTTCCATTTAGCTACGCCACTGGGTATACAAATGTACACAATAACCGGGGCTCATAGCTTTAAGCATTTACATTTTTTTTTTTTTTTTAAAGATCTTCTAGTCTGTAGTCTTTTTTAGAAATCACACTTATGTGAGCTATGGAATTTGTTTCGGGAAAAAACGAAAATTTATGTTGCATATTTTTGTATATTTCGAAGTTTAAGCGTTATATCGCATTTTTTTGTCGTTGACCGCTATTTCCGTACCATTCAAGCACTATTTTTTCGTTTTCGTATGCTCAACGTTTTTTCAATACCGTAAGCTTCAAAATATTACTCAACGACAAGAATAATTTAAACAATCTTGAATATCTACACGTTCATTTATTTCTGTTTGCGTCCGCTGCAACTCAGTATAACAATCGTATCGATTAGGAAACCCTTATAATGTATTACAACACGTATTTCGTTTGTATAGTCTCTAGATACCATTCCGGTATCGCGTTTAGTATTATTTTTTGCATATTTTATCGGTTTTAGTGCGTATTCAGGCGCTTACATGTATAATTTTTTAAGAGCATATATTATTGCGCTTACAACAGCCTTTTCTAGAATTACAATAGTTATACGAGCTCTGATAATAACGTATAATAATATACGTACTATTATATCCGACCGGAGACGGCCTACCGGTTTCCGGTGCAACGGACAACCGGTGCAGTGTACCGCTGCACGGACATACACCACCGTCATGTTATTATACCGTGTTTAACATTGTACGTTGGAACTTCGTTGGCGTTATCGTGGGAGTGGGAATAAAGGAGGGGGGACGGACTCGGCGGTCGAACTAGGTCGCTTTCCGCATTCGGGTCGTGCGCTGAACGCTGTGGCGAATCTATACGGACTTAATATAGTTTTCATAACAATATTATTTACCTATACATCACATATCAACGATAAAATAATATATAAGTGCTGGCGAGACGTTTACCCGATTAAACTGCGGTGTGTGCGACAAAGACGGAGCGAATCGTTAAAAAGAAAAAAAAAAAGTTACGTTTTTTTATTTTTTTATAGTCGTTTAGCCGTCGATATATAGGACGTTCGAACGGTTATACTGTGCGCATTACGCATACGGTACAGCGTACACCGCAGTCACAGGGAAAATAATTATTTTTTACGCAGATTGCAGAGCGAAACAGACATACACATAGTATATTTCCACGTAAAAATCGTTCAGATTTACGATATTAAAAAATATTATTATGTTAACGATAAAAATGCCGGTGGCGCGCGGAGCCGACTATAAAATAATAATCGACGATTTTTTCACCAAATAACAAATTCGCTCACTTCCGAAAATGTGTATTTTTTTTTTTTTTTTAGTGTTTTTTTCCATTATTTTTTCGTTTGATAAATATTATAATAAACGTTCATTTTACGACGGCGAATGGCTACGTTTGGCAATAACGCCTGTACACAATTAACGATGTTTACACGTAACAGAATATACAAGAAATAAAGTTAAAAATTAAAGAAATAATTAAGTTTGTCGGCGGAAATTACCGCCACAGTCGCAGACTCAATAATTGTCTTGAATTCCCTAGTTTGAATGAGTCCCGTGCGACCCCACGATTCCGGGCCCGCGTGGGTTCAGGTATAAGTACCCCGCCAACAAATATACGATATAGTTTAACGAAGTCATTTAGACAAACACGAAATGAACTCATGATCGAGTGTACGTAATTGATTATTGCATCAGCAATAACGATTAGCTATACAACAGAATATTGTGTATGTTAATGTTGTACTTGCCTGCTTTCGTATCGTACCGTAGTACCGGCCTCTATTGCAAGATAAATATATTATATGCATTTTTTTTTTATCGATTTGGGTATTTATCGACTTGCTAATGAGCTGCGTACAATTATTTAATCATGATGGTGGTGTTTGAAAACTCGATAATAGAATGAGTTACAATAAGAAAAAAAACCGGACATATACTTCACACAATTGGTGGGCCACTGTTGTAGGTGAGAAGTTTGGAAGACATGGCGTAGAGAGGAATTTTATTTATATCCAACGATAAAGCATCGCTAACGAAAAACAATCCGGAGAGAAGATTCTTTTATACGTAATTTGTCCGTAAATTATTCCTACGTTTTTCCCAATTGTTATGAAAACCGCTCGCGGAAAATCAAAAAATTACCTCCTTAAAGTATCGCCCAGATAAGATTTCCTTTCAGAAAATATACTACATTTCTTCAGAAACGGAGCAAGATATCCGACAGAAAAGCTGTTACAAGAAAAAAAAAATAAACACAATTCTAACCGTTCTTCGCGTCGCTAAGAATCGTAAAATATGAAATGTCCAAAAATGGCTCGAAAATCACCACCCACAATTACAACGGACAACTATCGAAAATAATAACTGTTATTTCCGGAAACTTTTCAATTTTTCTTACGTTTTTTCCCCTGATTATTAAAAAAACTACAAGGAAAATCAAAAAAATTATTGAAATTCAAAGTCGAATTTTCAATAGGAAAAAAAAACGAAAATAATGATACTTTTGTAGCTGTAAATTTGTCGGTTGTTCTCAAATTGTTATGGAAACAGCTTGGAAAATTTAACAAATTAGTTTCCCAATGAAGTTCTAAAATGCTACGAAAAAACCTCTTTTGTCGTTTTTTTTTTTTATTATTGGAGCAACATTTCTCGTAGAAAACGTACACAAAAAAAAAAAAAAAAATTAAAAATAAATCGCGCACGTATTATATAGTAAACCCAACGCAGTCCTCGATGTGCACAGAATCTAAAATATTACTCAATAGTTTCAAAAAAAAAAAAATAAATAAGCCAGAGAAATAATAATTCTCAATAATAAATGTGCAAGTACGAGACTTCGTCGACGGAAAACATACGTGAAGCACATATATATATATATATATATATATATGACTTTCAAAAAAATGTATATTCAGCGGACTATCGTTCATAAATACAACGATTTCTTTCTCTCGAGGAGGTAAAGTCGAATTTTATACAAAAAAAAAGTCTACGAAATTTCACTGCTGATCGCCGTTGTCGAAAGCACGAAATAGAGATAGTCTCGGTCGATATAATTAAAAACCCGATCCGACGACATTTAAAACAATACGGGGGACAAGACCGCACGATTCGTCGATGCTGCAGCTCGAGACTTTCTATATGGGCGGCGGTAGGGGAGGGCACGCGCAACATCTGTAAACCGGATTTCGTTTTTTTTTTTTTTTTTAACAAGCCGTATGCGTGTGACCCGAGACCGGTCTTAACAGAAAAAAAAAAAAAAAAAAAAAAAAAAACGCACATAACATTCTTATAACGGTAACTTGCTGCACAGACCCGACCCACACTCGTAAAACGAGGTATCGCATTCGCGCATATTTTCACTGTCCAAAATATACCGATCCAATAAACGAAATTGTTTTTAACTTTTGCAAAGTTCCAAAATACACACACACCGTTATTATAATACGGTAAATATCAACATAAAAACTGTGTACACACAGTGCTTGAGTGTGTGTGTGTCACTAAAACACATCTGACCCAATGCAAATAATATTTTTACTATCATTATTTACCTACCTTAACTAATGTTTTTTCAGTTCACCTACCTACTTACCTATCAGTGGCGTCAAAACTATATTTCTATGATACCTATAGTAGAATTTGAAACTCAAAACCACCACCCGCCTTTTTTCGCATAATAACTGTACACTTTCTAACTCTAAAAGTATGACTTTTATCCTCATTCCCAAATCCAAATTACCGGGAACACTCACCCACCCAAAATATTATGTGTAGAAACACTCAAAGTATAGTTTGGGCGGCACTGCTACCTATAGTATTATATTATTTCGTATATAAAACGTAATACCTACGACAAATATGTTCGTAAATATTTGTACAATGTATGATTGTAAAGCCGTAGTTTAAAAAATACACGAAATTCCTGTAGATACATATTATTTGGATCCGGCCGCAACGCCCCGACCACGGGGAATGACGTCATATTATTATTATAATAACGCGTGTTGAAATTGTGAGTCAACAGTTCAACACTATCTGAATACGAGAACACTTCTCGATAAAAAAAAAATTAAGATATTGTCGTTATATTGTGCACGATTAATGGAATGCGCAGGTAAAGTTTGAAATGCTTTCAAATTTCGAACTAAATTAGAAAGGTTTATACTTTTACATTGCATACAACACATAGTATTATTGTAATAACCTTCAGCATATTTATTAAAAACGCATGTTAGTTCCTGATCGATGTGGTTCTGGTATATTAATATTATAAACTATAAAGCGGTTACAATTGAACCAGTTTGACAGCATTATACGACAATATCTTATTGACATTAAAATGTATTTCTTTCTTTCCCCCCTCCCCTGTAAGCAATACATCGATACATTTTTTATAAATTATTTTTATCGTTCAAAAGTGCAGCGTCGTTTTATAATAGAATGACCGAGATTAACGAGACTTTCGTCTAGAATCTCAAAAAAAAAAAAAGGAATACCTGGCATAATGCCATTAGCAAAAAAGACAAAACGTTTGATTAGTATAACAAGGCAACCCTAATGAAAAATTATAATAAAACATTTAACGATCATAAATGTCAGAAAACTATTTTGGTCCATCACTTTTCGTCGCTGATGTTAAAAAATCATTCCCCTTTCCCTAAATATAATCAATATGATAATGTATCTAATAGTAATCCTATGTTTTTACCAAGCCTAACATCACACACTGATAAAATATACGTTAATAAACATGTGTTTTTTTATAATTTGGAATAACAATTAATACAGAATTTCAGCTTTTATAAAAACCAAAGGAAATTATAATATGAAATTGATAAATAAAAATAAGTAAATAAATAATTTGTCCAAATTTAAATTTGATTCACGCAACAAAAGATAATACAATATATTTTGAAGAAAAAAAATAATTACAAAAACCAACATTTATAATTCACATAACTTACAATAATAATTAATAATATTTACTAATATTGTATATATGTCCCATTACCTAGTTGAAAGCCCTAATACTAAATATATAATATAATATTACAATAAAATATCAATAATAGTTAAAAGCAAATTTGTGTAGGTGGTTTATATAAATAACATTTGTCTAAAAATATTTTTTTACCGAGAAGCCTAAGGTAAAAATGACCTTAATAACACACGAAAAATAAAATATAAATGGAATTGAGATATTGTTATACCACTAAAGTGCATTAATCATTCGGTTAGTGGTATAACAGTGACATACCGTAAGAACTCTTGTTGCGCTCACCAATTTAATTTGGTTTTTTTCTGTTTAATAAGATTCTTCATCACTTGACAAGAGAATTACTCGCTCTGCCTCGTGCCTACTTTTCACAACTGGTGTTATCAATTCATCAATCCATTCAGACGGAGCAGAGCGTTTGGTACCTTTGTTCCAACCATCGTCAGAATCAGGTACATAATAATCTTCCATTGTCGTTCTAGATCTAGTGTAATCGTGATCTTTATTGCGTACCAATCCGTTGAAATCCAAAAGTTCACCAAGTTCAGCCATGATCTTTTCGCTTTGTCCATCGGTGGCTGATCCATTAGCAACCACGTTTAACATATCTTTCAAATTTGATGTGCTCAAGGGTGATCCCGACTTGGAGAACAACAAGTTTCTCGATCGACCTAATTATATACAAAAATATGTTAGTCACTAATTATGTTATTATTTTCTAACTAATTCATCATAATATTGTATATTAACCTGGAACAGCTGTACTAGACTCTTGACCCTCTATAGACAATACATCCTTTTCGTCAGCTACATTTGGTCTTAAATTGGGTGCCGCTATTAAGGCAAGTGACATCATGAGAACTAACAAGCACGTGGCAGGTTGTGCTGTTGTACCACCTGGAGCGATAGCATTTTGTAAACGCTTCAATGCTGCTTTCAAACGTTCGTTTTCAGTCTGAAGTGCACGCACATTTTTCATTAGCTGACTATTTTCATCAGAGCATTGTTTAACCCTAAAATAAATCATGCTATATTTGACGTATATTATATAATCTATAATATTGTTATGACAAATTTACTTAATTTAATTTGTATTTATTTCTTGTGATATAGTAATAATTTTAATATTAATGTTACTATGTCATTGTAACCATAAATATAGTATAATTGTGACATACTTAGTGATTTTTAATCACATATTGTACCTATTAAGACATGAAAGTTTTAATTTTTTTCCATACCTTTCTTCGAGGCCGTCAACATATTCCTTCTTTCGTTTTCTCGAATCTTGTGCTGAAATCTTATTTCTTATTTTTCGACGAATTCGTTTTAAATCTCTTTCTTCGTGTTTAGTAAGAGGGTAATGTGAAGGTAATTTAACACCTTCCTTTTCCATTAATTTTTTTTCTTCATCTTTAAATTAAGAACAAAATATTAAATTATCAAAAGTAAATTTCATACAGTTTTATTTATAAAACTTACTTGTTAAATGAAGGCGGGGATACACAGAATCAGATTCATCACTTGTGCAATCTGATACCATTACTTTGTTCTGTTTCATAATTGGCATGGATTTTGATACCATAGAACCATTATTCCTCACAAATATCCGTCTTCCATTATTTATAGACTGTATCCGTCTAAATGCTTCAGCATTTATGGGTTTACCATTTTGATTGACTACCTGTTTATAAAATTAACGGTTTAAATTATTTTTTAGAAAACATATTTACAATCAATACACATTTCATGATAAAAATATACAATAACAATAGCAAGAATTCACAGATTTGAGAAAACTGTCAGTGTCACCAGATAAATTTCAATAAAACCTGGAATATTCTATCTCACCTTAATTGTTTTGATATTAGACAAATTGATCGGTATAAAAACTGGTTTTGACAAATGTTTGTTAATTGCAATTGGCCCTTTTGATTGTTTAGATGATATTACTACTGTGCGAGGTGTGGTTTTCAATAATTGTGGTTGTTGAAACATTGTTAGATTTTCATTTATACTACTGTTGTCTTCATCATTATTGTTATCAATTTCATTATCATCATCGTCATCAACATCAATTACTTCCTCTTTGACAAAAGAATCAAATGAGTTGATATCCAAATCCTCTTTGAACACAGCGTCATGAGACTTAGATGATTCTGAATTTGGAATGAATGGCATATGATCCACAGATGAAAGTCCTATACACATTTATATGTTATCAAAAATGTGCGTTTAAATTCCTTTAAATGCTTGAATTGAATGTTTGTGTATAGGTAATACATACAATGCAAACATGTCTGTAAAAGTAAATATAGAGACTAATAAACGAGCTAATACCTATAGTTTCATTCAATTACCTATCGACTATCACAAATTTATGTCAAATTATTAATGTATTTTATACAATTAAATACTTTGTTATCAATAATTGTATAGTACACTTGATGTTGTAATTCATCTAAATAATTTAGTTATTAAAACGTTAAAGAACCAAAGCGTAAAAAAAAAAATAAATAGATTTTCAATGTAACTAACATATGGAAATAAATATTTGTCAAAATATATACGTAACATATGGTTTGTTGGTTGAACTAGTACAGTTGTTCTTAAAATGAGACTTGTAGATTGATTGAACGGGAACCAGATTACACTGCAGTAGGGTTAGGTAGATAATCAAAAGGGGTATATTATTTGCATACAATCACAAGTATCGGAAAACACTCGTGCGTAAGTACTTGGTAAATGCTGGGACGAAAAAAAGACACAAAATCGAGGAGGACGGTAATAAGTAAAGTGTATGGTGTTTAGTAGCGTACCACTGTCAGAACAAGAACTGCTCTCGGCGTTGTCGTAGGACCTCGGTGTGGTGGCCGCGCTGGACATAAAGTCGTCGTTGCTGGACAGGAATTCGAACGGCGACGAGTCGTCTTCCATTTTCAGCAACGAGTCGAGGAAACTGTCGTTTCCCAGGTCCCAGTTGACTTTCTACGGGTTCGTAGAAAAAAAACCGAAAAAGAAAAACAAACGGAAACCGACTTTAGCATAACACGATAAAATACGCGGGGACACCGCCCTCCGCCTACGCCCGCCCGCCGTCGGGGCGGGACAGAGGCGTAGAGAAATATCGTAGGCAACTAGAAAAAAAATCGTAATTTTTTTTTTTTTTTTTATTATTTTAATTATTTTAAGCCACTTACGTCGGCATCGTCACCGGCCACCGACCCGGCAGACTTGTCGAACACGTCCAGCGTCGCGGTGTCGTTCAGCAGCATGTCGACGATGCTCAGCTGGCACTTGGTAGTGTCCGCCGACATGGTTCACGGGATCCGATTATTGCACGGGAATAATAATAGAACTGGGCATTCACTTCGGACACGGGTGCAATACCGTCGTTATCGGCGTGAACGCATATCCGGGCGCGTCTCGTGCCGTCCTGTCACATAAAAATCGCGACGGACGATAATAACATTATCGATTGATTAATTAAACCAATCGCGCGCAATATACGCGTTTCGAGAAAAACATTTGAAAAAAGAAAAACTATTTTATCGCGTCGTGTCCGTTCGGTTACACGGAGGCGGCGGCGGCGGCGGCGGCAAAATACGTGACGTAGCAATATGGTAAAATATTGAAAAAAAAAAAAAAAATAATAAAAAAATAAAAATATATAACCCGATACGAACCGAACGAACCGAGCACTCCGCCACTACTGCGGACTGCGGAGTGCGAACTCGGCCCGTGAACTAGTAGTACGAGGAGCGGTAATGGGACGTGCGGTGCGTGTATAAACTCAAACTGATATACCGCATACCGTATTCTAACCAGTCTAACCGTGCTCATGTTCGCCTGCAGCACCGCTCGGACGGACGCGGGGCGTTCGGCAGACGGTCGTCGGGAAAAGGGACGGGCTGCCGGCTCGGCAGTGTCGCCGCGACGGACGCCGCGGAATACCCGGTCCGCGGTTAGACTTCTTACAATATCATTTTCGTTTTGTTTTTTTTTTTCATTTTTTGCTCATGCGCGAGTGCGCAGCGTTAATTATTTCCCGGGCTACCTCCCATATTAACTACCTAACCAACCTGCCGTTCTCGCCGCGCCTATGACTAAACGCGAGTCGATACAGATGTTATCATAGGCAAAGCGATCATCGTTATTCAGAGGTTACGAAAAAAACGCATCCACACACGCGCACACACGGTTTATTATTTTCCATTATATACGCCGCGGTACCGTGTCGCGCGGATATCGTGAAAACTCGCGTGGAGGAATCCGTGATGCGTATTACCCTAGTTTTTTGCGCGCGTAGCGGGCATAGGAGGTGCGAAAAACAAAACAATATATTATTGTTATTGTTATTATTATTATTATTATTATTATTATATTATCGGTAAACAATTTATTAATAGAATAGGCGCCTGTACCCGCCGGCTGTTGCGTAGCCGTCGGTACACCGGACGGGTGATGTTGTGCTGCGTAACATTCCGTACAATCGGTACGGTCCCGAAGAAGAAATGTGGAGGAGGAGGGATGACCGGGTAAATGATATTGTTTTGTGCCGCAGGCGAAAAAAACCCCTAGGTACACGCATTGTAATAGCAACATAACAAAGTGTATTATATTGAAGCAATAATACAATCGAGCATACCTACCTGACGTGTGTGTTAAGTCGCATTCATATCGATAGATAGGTGTGAAAAACCTGCCTTAAAAAAAAAAAAAATAACAATAATAACAATAATACGCGAAATGCATTTCCTAGCGCAAAGTATTATAACAATAACGTCAATAGCATTTATCGGTATTTTTTAATATTTTTTTTCTCACTCTTCGACTTATTATCTGTACACCCAGAAATATAACTGATAGGTATTATACAGAGTGGTTTTTTTTTATCGTGACAATTTTCTCTAGAGATTTTAAGTACCTACGTTTTATTTCTGTTTCGTTGTTTTTTTTTTCGATATATTATATCGAAGGTAACAGTTTAAAATTTACACAGTACAAAAGGGTAAAAGCCTTTGAATTCCGCGTCCATTTTAAACGATAACCCTTCCATATATCCGTCCGGATCCAGTACGGTCTTTTTTCGAACCTGGTTTGAAAGGAGAGAGGGTAACAGGCCTGACGAGAGAAAGGAGCAGCCGGGGCGCTGTAGCCCTAGCCGATCAAAGCAACCAGGTTCCATATATTTTACCTAATTTTTACATTAACATAGGTCCAAATGATTTGTAGTTAAATTTCATAATATTTTACTTGAAAAATGAAATATTAATAATATAACAAATCCTTAATAAATACTTTTTACCATGCTATACATACGACGTGTTAATAACAATGATTCATATGCTTTTTAATATCTAATACCTCAACCTTAAATCTTCTTTTTATTATAGGCATTTTTAAGAACGACGCTTGGCGCCAGCGGTAAGTTTAATATTTGACATTGAGAGGGATCAGTTTGTCCCTGGGGCCTTTGATTTCTTTCTACGGCCCTGGAAGGGAGGTCGCTTTATGAAAATCAAACGTTAATCTTATAATATTGTGTTTATAATATCAGAAATGTACTCGTACCTACAATAGGTATTTCAAGAGTATTGTAGATAAATTCGTGAAACGATTCCACAATAATAGGTATGATTGGAAAAACCAAAATCAATTAATATTACTCAAAATATTCGCAGATATTATAATCGGTGAATCGTGAATAAAAAAAAATCACTCTGTATACATTTGGCATGTATCTATATAGATTATAAAACATAATATTAAAATATTATTATAACAACGTTAAGATGATGCCTCGTGCTCATAAAGACTGTGAATAATAATTTCATAATTTTTGAAGGACGCGCGCATAAAAAGTACCGCATGGATGTTATAATGTAAGTATTTTTTTTTTTATAGGTATAGTTATTGATATAATACTTAAACATATATAAACATTTTTTTTTTCTTTAATGATAGTTTATATATGATGCATTTTTTTTTTTATTCGATATTTGTAAAATAGTTTTTAATAACACCTAAGAGGTTGAAATATTATATATTTCTAATAAACAATCACGTATTTATTATTTTTTTAAAAAAAATGTAAATTTATGGATACACGAACAATTCGTACGGGGCAGGGAGAACGTAAAAATGATAAAATAAAAAAATCCGGACAGCGAAATTCTTTGCACCGTGGACACTGTAAGTTGTAGGCGAGAAGTTTGGAAGAATATAGCCGATATAGGGTACCTATATAATGGTTTAGTTTAATGTACTGAAAGCAACGATAAATCATTGCAATCAAAAACCTATTCTGGTCTGCGCTCGATAATAAACTGGAAAGTAGGGGTAAGATTAACCCAGAAATCGACAAAAATGAAACTTATGTATCATAATACGCTCTATATAAAACCTATTTTGTCATTTATGGTTGGTTGTCAGTTTCATTTTAGTTTTTGAGAAATACTGTTGGAAATCTGCTAGAACCGCGGTTCTTTTTTCAAATAAAATACCTACTAACTAACCGATTTTTACCAACCGATAAATATTTTGTCGGGAAAAACACATTTTAATAAAACCAATCAGTTACACTCACAAACTCAGAATCTAAAATATACCTAGTACCGTGTCTAGGAAGGTGCAAGAAGTGCCTACACACCGGGCGCTATGGCCACAAAGGCGCCAATAAAAATGTTTAAAGTTCTATAATTTAATATTTTTACAATAAACGTATGATGAGTAAACTCTCAACTGACAGGCTTGGGGTTTTTTGTTTTGCTCGTCGGTAAATTGTTCTGGCGCCGGGTGCCGATACATATAAAGGTATACATCGTTAAATGGCTGAGTACGAAACTCAAAAGCTGATGATAAACAATTTTAAAATTCCTTTGGTTTTGCACAAATTAGTTATTATTACATATTATAGACGTGATATTATATAATATTATAAAATATAATCGCTTATAATCGATATAATATTATTTTCTAAAAAAAAAATCAATAATATACGGTTTTCCTGATAGGTAATATTATATACCGTGTTGAGTTACTTTTCGCTTTCTTATTATTTTTTTTTTTTTTTTGTTTAAAACGACGCATATATTATTATAATATTAACGCAAAGGTCACGTATTATTATTATTACACAAGGTATACCTATTAATTTATAATAAAAACGAACGAATAGGTAGGTATAGGTAGGTCGTATTCGATCATTCGGTCGTTGTTATAATATTTTACCAGACGTTAGGTATGTCCGCGTTAATAATACATAATATAGTTTAAATTACGAACATTAATTTTCCATTACGCGATTGTTTTTTTTCCTATTCTCCCCTCAAATAACTTATAGTTTTGTGATTTCTCGAGTACTTACACGAACGTTTATCGTCGTTTGCGTTTAATAGTGGGCCCCGTATAATCATTTCCCGGTATTTGTATGTATTTTAATATGAAAAACGTGCTGGGTTACTCGCCGAGTATTGTTGGACGGATAGGTACTTGTTAAATATTCGCATAATGATACGTAATCGATACCGAATTATAGATAACATGGCGGGCGATGCCGTCGTAAAAAAACGGTATGGACAATGTTTCAAAAAAAAATTTTAAAAAAACAATAATAAAATTTGCACGAATTTGCAAATACGTATTCCAAAAATCGCCAAAACCGACGCAACGACCGGATAGTGCGACACGCCACTATACTATCACGCTGCGTCCGGTGTACGTTATCACATAAAAATACACAATATTGTCTTATTTACAATTTGTTTTTATTTTAACCACAAGCCACGCGCCGTAAAGACGCCACCGGCACCCAGACGATTTTTAAAAATCGGAATAATATATGTATACGACCAAAACTGTAAAATTATTTAAGTATTTGAATAATTATGTCGCGTTTGTGTAGGTAATCAATGCTCAAATTGTAAAAATAAAAAAAAGTGGCGCTTTAAGACTTAAAAAAAAAAATTAGCATCCTCTGCAAATTATTGAAGCCAACGTAGACCAACCGAGAAGAACGTCGGAAAAATCGTAGTATTTACACAATAACGGTTAAGTTGCTGTTGTATTCGATTTTGTTTTGTAGTTCAGTAAAAAAAAATCGTAGAGGCCGGAAATTTCGCTGAATAGATTTATTTATATAGCACTTTCGAGACATAATATAAATTTCAAAACATTCTGGTAATTTTTCAGTTATTCATAGAGTTTTAAAATTGTCGACATCTTTAAATTTTTATGGAATTAAAAATGCCAGAAAATTGTATATTATAAATTGTAGTATTTTTTTTTTTTTATAAGCGTTTAAAGTTAAAATGTTAATGTCAATAAATTTTGACAAAAATGCAAAAATATATACGGTCTCGTGCGTTTCACTTAAAATAAATAATAGAAGTACGCTAAACATTTCTGAAAAATTATTTGAAGACTCCGAGTCCCCAGCGTCCCCTTTCCAAATCCAGCAATGTGTGTAATGTAATTTATATACAGACTGCAGAGATGGAAAATCGGCAATTCCAATCCCTTCGATAAAATAACATTATGTATTTCATTAGGTATGATATTTTAATATTTTCTCATTATACACACTACCACACTATTAAGTTAAAAGCAATATTTATTTCGGGGAGTAATCGGGGGTATCCCCCCCCGTGGAGAAATCTATACCACCCCTTGAAAATGTATGATATTACTACGTTATGTAGAATGAGTTATAGGCCAATTATAAACCATTTTGTTGACAATAAAATAAAAAAAATATTGTGTATAAATATTTATATAAATAACCGTATTTTATAGAGCTACAAAAAAAAAAATGATCATTGAGCGTATTTTCTTAATTTTTTCCCCTATGTAAAAATGTCTAGATCCCGCTCTACCTTTGGCATACCCCCTCCCCCCAAGGGGATGAAGGTCTAAAATAAACACTGGTTGAAAGTTTGGTTAGGCAAGGTACCTAACAATACCTATCTATATTACAGGGCCTTGTAAAACTGATAAACGTAATATACTTGCACGGTTTTTGTTTCAAGTTTATTCAAATATAGTAATATTATTGATGTACCTAATACCCACACTAAACATTTATGCACTCGAAAAGTGTGCCATTTCAATATTTCATTATAATGGTTACAAAAATTGGCCAGCAGTTAGAGATACTATATTGGTATAATAAAAAGTAATACGAACATTAATATAAAACAAAAATTAATCATTCCCTGTAATTTATAGGTACCTACTACCTACCGATTTATATTGTTTAGTTAAGTATCATACATTTTTGCATATCTCGAAATGAAATACAGTGAAATCTGTCTTAACAAACACCCGTATATTACAGGGTGATTATTTTCATCAAAACCCTGCAATTTTCTCGGAGGATTTTAAATAAATTTGATTTCTTTTTTTTTTTTTTATCATCGTGGAATCGGTTAAGCTTATTTTAAAACCATTTTTAATTTTTCCCATACTCTAAATATCGTATACGTACTCTATATTAAATAAGTATATACGTTTGTTTTTCAAGTAGGAACTCCTCTTCTTGAACACAGATTCAAATGGAGCAGGTATACTTTTTTAGCAATTTTAATAATATACATAACATCACTAGTATCAGATTTATTGTTTACGAATTATATAACCGTTTTAAGTTCAGACCGGAGAGTTATCAATTAATCATTTAAAAATAGATATGAAATTTATTATTATATATACCTTAATTCATGGTCCCGGCAAAAAGATTCCAATGGCATTCCAATGTATTTCGACCTGTCTATAACGGACTGTTTCTATTACGGACACGGACAGTAATATAATATTTTTACCCCAATAACTTGATAACGCGGACAACTATCTTAATTCAATATCAAATATATTGCAAACGTTGAAACGTGTACATACATACCACGCAACAGCGTCTCCAGATTGTTTCGAATATCGACTACAACAGATTATGCGTTCGATAACAATGATAACAACCTTTGGAATAATTAGAATAAATATACAATCTTTGTAATTTATTTGTCAAACCGTTTGTAAACCCAATGGCCCATGTTGCCGAGGGTCTTTATCAATAGTAATAATAAAAAAAAAAAAATGATAAAGTTTATTGCCAGGACAGAAATAACCAGAGACGTAGACTGAACAGTAAACAGCGCTTATTCCGTATCGCCTCGTTATAATAGTGTTGTACATTTTTCCCTGTTCGTCAATTCGTTTTAAATTTTTTCTTTCCAATGCCACCTCCCGTACCTGTCTATAACGGAAACTTTTTATGGTCCCGCAACTGTCCGTTGCACTGTATAAATATTCGCCTGACTATTTACCTTATCACTGCATAAACCTTGCTGAAGGTGCCTGGGGTAGGTATTCGCTATATACATTTGTTCATGTTTTTAAACAAATAAGTATACCAACATTAATTAGTTCGGTCCCTACGTGTTTTATCCATATTACCTATGCCTACTATAGATAACGTCTTATCGCTTGTGAATTACATTTAATTAATCATTCTGCAAATATATCCGAGGAACAAAACTGTGCAGGTCTATAACTTAATGTATACGGACGACTGACTATAGGCATCAAAGTTATTTGTCCAACCGGAGTCATACTTTATGTGCCAGTAAACACAAAGCACAAAACGTACTATATAGGTACCTAATATAATAGGGAATAAATATACCTAGGTAAATAGCCCGAATATAAAATAGAGTTCAGCCAATTTAAGTATAATACTGGACTACTGGATCATATATCATAGGTATACTTAGTGAAAGTTTCAAATACCTAATAGAAAAGATTAAAACATAAATGTACAACTGCTACGTATAATATAATGTTATTGGTTATACAACGTGATTATTTTATCATCGTGATTCATAACCTGCAGCGATTACTATTATTACGAACATGTTGAATTCATTTTATTTTGGTTATTATCAGTCAATATTTTTCATAACTTCACCCCGCTCTGTAAATACTATTCTGTAAATAATAACTATACTTGTGAATTTTAAAATGTCTCACAGTCTATATTTTTTAACACCAATTCGTTAAAAAAGGATAATGTTTAAAAAAAAAAAAATGTACAATATGCATATCAGCTGTATAATATCAAATATGCAGTTTATGAGTTAGGTAAATAACAGTTTGACATTTAAATAGAAAGAGTATAGATATAGAGCAATGACTGAATAAAACCAAAATCAAATTTACTCAACATTTTCGTATGGATTATCTCTGCGGGTTTATAAAAAAGAACCACTCTGTACACACTATAAACAATATTATATTTTTTATGTAAATTTTGATGACTGACACGAATATAATTTATAAAATACTATCTAACATGGCTTTGATGCCCGTGTCAGTATTGAACGAAAGAAAAAAAGAAAAATGTGTTTCCTCGTGATTCTTTCTTTCAGTATTTTTTTATTTTATCCGTATACCATAAATGTAACCCAAAAATCAACAAAAGTACGAAAAGTATTAATAAATGTGTCAGACTTCAATTAAAGGTCGAATACAGGGGAAAAAATTAGCGTTATATTATGTGTTATCTCTGGTCTAAAACTACATCTATGCAAATTTTCAGCTCAAACCGTTCAATAGTCTTGTCATGAAGAGGTAAATAACATCCAGTAGCGAATGTATGGGGGAACCCAGGGGTATGAATACCTCCCAGATAAAAATATAACTTCAATAAAATTACATCTAATATATCATGTGTGTGACGATACGGCGGGCGGCGTGTTCATAATGCACCACTACTCTATTCCAACCCAAAATTAAAAATGGAATATCTTGTCAACAGATTGATGGAAATCAAAAATTTCAACACTAAAATTTATTCTAACTAATACTCCATCTATTGAGTTTTTAATATAGGTTGTCATTTGAAAACCAAAACCCTAAAAATAAGGGTGACAAAAAAAAAAAAAACATAAATATAATATTGTAAAACAACTTGTTTCTTAATGTTCTAGAAAACAAATTCAAGAAAAAGTTAAAACTTTCCGAGATAATGAGTGTACCCACTTAAATGGATCATCCGGTATAGTTTTCAAAATATTTTGGCTATTTGCGAGTTATATCAGAATTTTTACACCCCACATTTTTTCTATGTAATCACCCATACACGTATTTTTTTAAACCGTTTTCCGATCGACGGTGTAGGATGGATACAACGGCTGTTTTGTGTACTTGTAAATATTTCTAGCACAAAATCAATGCAACTGTTGATTTTTATTTTTCAACCGGATTACCAATAGGCCTTAAGGTCTATATATGTAGTGTCTCATTGTAAGCATATAGGTACTAGGCGCATAAATAAAAATGTATCTATAGAAGAAATAATAATAAAGGATTAAGCAGATGTTTTGGATGGGTACCTAAATACTAATATTGATACTTATACCTATTGGTTTTATTGGTTTATTTGGTAATAAAATCAGAAAATCAAAAACACCACTTCAAACACGCCAAGAACGTTTTGTAATCTGTATACCTACTATGTAGTCATTGTACATACGATTAGATTGGTCGTGGAATCGTTATTATTATCACAGATGAAAAAAATAATAAAATAAAGAAAA